AATCACATTACCCAGGCTCTATCCTACAATATGCTAATTACTCTCTGTCACATTACCCAGGTTTTATCCTACAATATGCTAATTGCTCTCTGTCACATTACCCAGGTTCTATCCTACAATATGCTAATTACTCTCCGTCACATTACCCATGTTCTATCCTACCATATGCTAATTACTCTCCATCACATTACCCCGATCCTATCATGCAATATGCTGATTACTCTCAATTACATTACACATGTTCCTGGTGACATTATGTCCCCAGCTCCAATCAATCCTGGCCAAACGGTGTTCTTATGCATTTAGTCCCATCAATCCCAGCCTGATGGGACCCTCCTGTCCCAATCACATCAATCCAGCCAGCATATGTTGTTTTCATATCCCAGTCGCATGAATCAAAGTGAGATGGTACCCTTCCCTAGTCACATCAATCCCAGCCAGATGGTGCCCTCTTAGTCCTTCCCCCCACCCCTCCAGTCATATCAACCATATCCCCCCATTCCTGGTGGCCTAGCGGTGCAGCCCCTGAGGTCCTGCCTGGCAGTATGCTCCTTCACTAGGCCCCTCACACAGAGCACAGACATGGGGCGGCTGTGAAGGTTGGGGGCACTGATAAAGGCGATGGGAAGACCCCCTGCAAACTGCCGGTGTATACATCATGATTAATGTGACTTAGCTATAACAATCCCAGCAAAAGAGGCCTTAGGTTTAACTTAATCATTGACAAATATACAAATAAAACTTTCTGTATCTGGAGAGAAATGTATAATTCTGAATTCATAAAATGATAAAACAATTTATTACAAATATGATAAAAGCATGAATAACTAGACAGTTAACTGGCCGGTTATTGGATGCTGTTATGTGAATACGCACCGTATACAGTGAGATTAAATGATGCGTAATGTATTACTCTGTTTGTAAGAATTATTGTCGCTGTGTATATCCTGCTGTCCTCTGCTCTCAGATCTTGGATGGTTAATCCAGTCATGTTATTAGATAGTTTGAGGCGGTTATTAAGCTGACCGTTATAGACCCTAAAACGTGAGTTTGAGAACTTTGCAATTCTGATTTCTTCTCCAATGGTTTGAAATCCCCAGGAGATGTTGCCTACAGGATGTGTCAGACTGAAATCACAGGACAGACGGACAGACTGATATAAAAGGCCGGACACCGGGAGAGGGACATCACGCTGAGCTATATGGAGATAAAATAATATAAAATATAAACAATTTAATAAACCCGATATATCCTAATTTTGTATTACTACATTGTGGAGTAAATGACATGACTAGGACTCAGATACATATTAATAAAATGAAAATCACTTTAGGGGAGCAGCACCTCATTGTCAATAAACTGTGAATAAACCTGAACTGAACATGAATTGTATCATCACAACATATAGTTCATGGCAGATCTAGCTCACATTTGTAGATCTAACATTTTGTATTTTCATTTCTCTTTTTAATGTAATTAACATCAATAAATCCTATTTTATTCCCTGCGTTGAATGTCATGGGATAATGTTTACTAGTCGCCGTCCTGCTTTCCCCAGGCCAGAGTAATAGAGTGAAGAGTTGAGTCAGTCCGGCCCTTCAGGAGAAACCCAGCCTGCCGGGGTAAGTCTTCTATCCCTCCCATCAGTCACTGTATCAGATCCTCTTTCCCAATATAGAGAGTTTACTGACCTGATCCCAGGAGGAATGCTGCCAGTAACATACAGGGGATCCATGCAGCTGGATGCAGCATAATGTCTGTAACAGGCTGAAGATACAGTAACTGTAATTAGAGATACACTGAGAAACCATCACAACCACAGGTGCTGGGTCTGGCCATGTCTCTTTACGTGGCAGGATGGGGGACGCAGTCACGGAAGGTGCTGTGCAGGATGTCAGTAACCAAAACTGATTAATATAAGGCACCCAAGAAACTCCTTTTACAAAGAAACATTTAATTTGCAAAAAATGCAGAATCTATTGGACCCTTAGCTCCATCCTCTCATCTCCCTCTTCCCAGAGAAAGAGACCAGATAGCAGATACAGTACAGCTGTACGTTCCCCTATAACTCATTATGACACCCATTGCTTCCCATGGGAGGTGTATAGCAACGCTCACATAGACAGTTTGTGTTAATTAAAAATGAATGAGAAGCACTGACACAGTGAATGAAAACCCTGTACGTTTATAATGTTCATAACGGAAAATCACACTTCCTCAAAAGATATTGGAGATCTGAAATAAAAGAAGGACCATTTAACTTTCATTATTTCTAATTGATTGTATTTTTAAAGCAGGAGGTGAACAGCTGAACCCATGTTGGGCTGTCCATTTAAAGGAATAATTGCTCT